TGTCACAGCCCTTGCACTTTCCAAGTGTGCCATCCAAACACACTCACTTGCAAGAGGATCCTCAGCTCAACAATCTTGATGAGGGGACTGAGTGCACCGTGGGTAAGTCTGCAGGTGACAACAAGCTGGGAGGAAGGCTCACATCAGCCTGAGGGTGGAAGGGCTCTACAGAGGGACCTGGACAGGCTGCACTGATGGGCTGAGGTCAGTGGGATGAAGTTCAACAAGACCAACTGCTGGGTCCTGCACTTTCGTCACAACAACCCCATGCAATGCTACAGGCTTGAGGCAGAGTGGCTGCAAAACTGTGCAGAGGAAAAGGATGGGTGAATATGAGCCAGCAGTGTGCCCAAGTGGTCATGGTTCAGTCTGGAGAAGAGGAGGCTCAGGGGAGATCTCATTGCCCCTTACCATGCCCAGAAAGGAGGCTGGAGCAAAGCGAGGACTGGCCCGTTCTTCAGGTAACAGCAACGGGATGAGGTGATGGCCTCAAGTTCTGCCAGGGGAGGGTCAGGTTGGATATTAGGAAGTATTTGTTCTTAGAAGGAGAGGTAAGGCATTGGAACTGGATCCAGTGGTGGAATCATCATCTCTGGAGGTGTTCCAGAAACATGGAGATGCTGGGTTGGGGCTGGGCCTGGTGATCTTAGAGGTCTTTCCCAACCTTAATGATTCTATGAGTGACAACCAGAAGAGGATAACACCTTTAAATCCCATTGCTTTTTAAGTCTTTAGTTGTGGTTTAGTCCTGGTGGTTGCAACTTCATTGCAATGTAAAAAGAATTCAACAGGAGCAGTGCTCAGCTGTGAAACCCAAGGAAGCTGAGGATACAAATCTGTGGTATCCCCTGCCCACTCCTCCTTCAGCCCACCACTACATCTCTGTGCTTCTCGAACAGATGGGACCTTCTGGCAGTCTTTAAACCACTCAACAACAGTCTCTTCTGTAACAAAATAAACTAATTAGGAGAGTAAGACGCTATTTTCCATCAAACTTCTGCTATTTTTAAGGAGTCAGCCAGCTTAGTGAGCTGATGCCTGATTAAGGATTTGCAGAGAAGCAATTTTGCCCTCGGAAACCTAACACAGCAGAATTAAATGCACGCCCGCACAAAGGTACAGAACATGCTGAATGAACTTCAGCAGCATTCTGCTCACCAAATACTCCTCTCCATTTAAGATTCCACAAATGCAGACGGTCTGTTGATGGCGGATGCAAAGATAATCACCTGTAAGCACTGTCTCCGCAGGTTGCATCTCTAAACACAGCCCAGCAAAAGAATAACTGCACATAACAACTCTGCTCAGCAAATGCTTTTTTATGAGAGTGTTCTTCAAAGCCTCTGAAAGCTTCTGTGGCAATGCTGTCCAACTTGAGCATAAACTTCTCTAATGCAACCATGCAACGAGCCTGTAGGTATTTTGCTCCAGATAAGCATTTGCCTGCTGCACTTTATAGTGTTTTCCCACAAGTGTTAGCTTTGTTATATTGCCACCTCTAAGATACATGGAAATCACTGTAAAAACTAAAATCTTCCTGAATTCTTACAGCAAACCTTCTGAAAATCACTGCAGAGAACTGCAAAGCTTGGCTCTGGATATCCACAGATGTTAAATGCTCGTAGAAGAAACTGCAATGCACAGCACCTCAGAGTGCATGAAAAGCTGCAGAGAAAAGCCAATGGATTTTGTAATAACTAAGCACATTTAGAGGTAGATTTGTGATTCATTAGGTATTTTTTGGTGCAGGAGATAAACCAAAGCAGCTTGTTACGTGTTGCCTAGCTGCAGCCTATGTTATGAATAGTTTCCCTGCAGGTAAAAAATCTTCTATTGCTTCTAAGTACCCCAGGAAAAATAGTAATTGAAAACGGTTCTAATACTGTCCAGCTGGAAAACATTTGCTTGGGATGGAACTAGCTTGAGTTTGGCTGCCAATTGGCTATGTACAACGGAAAAGAAAATTAATTTCTAGCAGACAAGACATCCCATTTTCCACTTTTACATTGTAACTCTCAAATAAACTCGTTATTAACCAAAGGCTTTGATTTGCATGGGGAAAGAAAAACATCAATGCATGTTTGGTAACATAAGCCCGGATTTCTTATGTATAAGGAAAGCTCTCAAAGTTTGACAGCAAGTGGTGCAGCAACCAGAAAACACTTTATGGTCCAACAACGTAACACTTTCCCTCTCTTCTTCTTTGGCCAATAGCTGAAGAATAGATAAAATAAGATTGCTTTTTCACTTCTAAAACAATTCAGTTCTATGCAGCAGCCAGCAAGCTCACAACCCACAGCTCTCCTGCAGCTCTGCTCCTCTCTGCTCAGCTGCAACCTTGCTGAAACACTCCAGACTTCCATACATGCTTCCACTGAAAGGACTGAGCTGGAAGGAACCCTTAAAGGTCATCCAGTCCAACTTCCTGCAATGAACAGGGACACCTACAGCTCAATCAGCTGCACGGAGCTGACCTTCAATGTCTCCACCCTCCACATTAATTCTGCAACCTAACAGAAAACAAACAAATAAATAAACTTAGCTCCTCTCCTTGCACAAAAGCATCCTCATCATGCACGTAGCTTTCAGCAGATGAAGTCACCTGCTGGCACAGACCTCGTCCACGTTCCCAGTTTGGCTTCACGTTGCTGCACACAGTTTGTGCCATTTGCCCAAATTAGATTATTTTGGTTTTTGTCTGATGTAGACTAAGAAATCTTTGCACAAATTGCTTCAAGGACTTATCAGCACAGAGGGTAATTAGCAGTTGGTAACAATTTCTGGGTCTGAAAATAGGCATATGTCCATCTGTCCACAATCTTAGCTATTATGTTTGAAAATGGCTTCTCCATTTCTTCTTGAGTAACTGAAGGAGGTCAGACAAGTGAGATATGGAGGATGACAGCAGACATGGGAAAGCAAGGAAATGTAGCTGCTGGTGCCAGAAAGACAAAATCCTGTCTGCGCTGCGCTGCTGTCCATGGAAGCACTTCAAAAGAGAGTTTCACATTCCTCTAATCAAAGAAGAAACTGAGAAGAATAAAAAGAGCTACAGAGGAGAAAATGTACCACAAAGCCCACATGAAGAGAAACAAGCACTGCTGGCTGAACAAGAATAACAACACACACACTGGAATATTACAGAGTCAAGGCTTAGCATCTTCTCTGCACTTACTCAGTGTAGACAAACTTGCTGGAGATCAAAAAGTTAAGGACAAGCTTTGCTCTGATCTGATTCTATGGGAGAGGTGCATTAAGTTAGCATGTTTAGCTTGGATGGGGTCACGGGTAATCTGATCTAGTAGGTGGCAACCCTGCCCAAGGCAGGGGGTTGGAACTGGATGAGCTTTAAGGTTCCTTCCAACCCAAACCATTCTATGGTTTTAGAATTTCCAGAAAAAAAGTGTCAATAATGAAAAGAAAGAAGGGAAGGGAAGGGAAGGGAAGGGAAGGGAAGGGAAGGGAAGGGAAGGGAAGGGAAGGGAAGTGCCCCTGCACAGACACACTGTGGCCCCAAAACATCAGCACCCAGGCAACAGTCACACAAACATGCTTCCATCCCAATGGGAACACGTATACACATCCCATGGCTTCTTTGATGAAGCAATGAAAAGAAGGCTCTAGTTTGTTGGATGACAGCCAGATTTTACAAGCATGTATTGCAGTGCCTTGGCGAGCTTTTAGTGGCTAATAATTCTTATTATCTGCCAGGTTCATAATAAAATTACAGAAGTTCTAAAAACAAAGGAAAACAGAGTGATTTGGAGTCACGTGGAAGTCCATGGGATGAGGGTTACCTGGTGCCTGCCAGGAATGGTCCCAACTAAGCTGACCTGTGTCACTCCACTACCTCCAAATGAGTGTCTCTGCAAATTTTCCTTTATTTTCACTGCCTATGAAGGTTCCTATCTGCAAACCAGGACAATAACCCCTGACTTCAGAGAGAGGCGTTGATGATTAATTCATGAAGCATTCAGCTCTGGAGCAGTGACAGGAATCATTCACAGCTTGGGACAAAAGGTACGGATGAAATACAGCGAATAACCAGGAAAAATAATGAAACTATGACAATACAGTGAAATCCTTTCTCTTCTGTTCTCCTACCCACAACACACTGCACGACAAGAATCAGGAGGAAGAAGTACTGCAGCTTGCGATGAAAGACTATATTCACATCTATGTAAAGAATTGCCAGGGCTCCATAGGCACCCTTAATTGTGGTGTTCCCTGATACTGAGGCCAAGATTTAATTACAAATATTCACCAAACAGAAGTTCTGGGGTCAGATTTTTTTGGTACTAATGAAGACATTGAAAAACTGAAGTCTAGATAAAATTAAACTGCTATCTTAGATAGGGGGAAAAAAGAATTTAAACCAGGATTCTCAGGTTCTTAACTTTTCCTTTTTGAGCACAAGTCTGCTGGTGAAAGTACGGCATTAAAAAGGACCTTTTAATTAACTTGTTCCCCTTTAAACAAGCTTTTGCTAAATCCACAATGTGCTGTGACAAAGAACGTGCCAGGCAGGTTTAACACAACCACTTCTCCACAGTTCTGTATCACACGATGTATTTGAACGTGTATTTATAGCCAGAAATATGTTGATACTATTAGAGTACACAGACACGATGGTATTCCTGTTTGATTTGGGAGATCAGAGAAAAACGTTTTCTATTTGCAGCACCTATAGCTATTTCTGGCCAAATGTTCTGCTGTGTAACACTGCATTCTTCTCTATTACAAGGCATAAAAACCAACAAGGCAAGCACAAAACCCCACAGCCTTCAAACAGCACAGCTTTCAGCTAAGCTGGGCTGAAAGTTGAAAACGTGCACCTGAAGGTACAAAAATCAAATCTGAGATCTGTCAGCCCGTGGAGATTTACAGTTTCTCAGGGATACGTAACAAATAGAAGTTGGATTAAGGCATTAAGCGCAGTTTAAAAGAAGCAGCCATGTGATTAATTGCGGAGAGGACCATCCTCGAGCACCAGCTCTCACCTTTATGCTTCCCCCAATGAGATCTGGCGGCTCTTCATCTGTTTCTAAGGCAACGTTGATGGAGGCGAAGGGGCGACTTGCCATCTGTTGCATCTCACGGAGTAGTTGCTAATGTAATAAACAGAAAAATATTATTATTATATTGTTCCAACACGAGGGTGAGAAATCAAGCAGCCCAATGCAAAAGGAATATCAGCGGATGTGGAAAAAATAACCTCCTGGTGCTTTAACAGGGTTTAAGGGTACAGAGGGCTTATTGTGAATATTCAGCTTACTACAGCTTAACAAGTCAGTGCAAGTGAAGTTGTGCAGCACTGCCACAGCCTGACTTGTTGGTGGAAGAAAAGACGTTGCCCTCAGTTCATAGAATCATCACAGAATGACAGAATGGCCTGGGTTGAAAAGGAGCACAGTGATCATCTGGTTTCAACCCCTGCTATGTGCAGGGTCACCAATCAGCAGACCAGGCTGCCCAGAGCCACATCCAGCCTGGCCTTGAATGCCTGCAGGGATGGGGCATCCACAGCCTCCTTGGGCAACCTGTTCCAGTGCCTCACCACCTCTGAGTGAAAAACTTCCTCCTAATATCCACCTAAACCTCTCCTGTCTCAGTTGAAAACCATTCCCCCTTGTCCTATCACTATCCACCTCACAAACAGTCATTCCCCCTCCTGTTTATATACTCCCTTCAAGTACTGGAAGGCCACAGTGAGTTCTCCCCAGAGCCTTCTCTTCTCTAAGCTAAACAAATTGCCACAGAGGCATTTTTTAAGCTGTGTTCCCTCTGCTGTTTGTCATCACCTCTCTGGGACACGAGGGGACTCCATAGGATCTATGGGAAGGCAAAACAGCTGCAAGAAATACTCTTGCATTACTTAGAGCAGCACTAGCAGAATGTTGTCAGGCAGCTATTGAGTAATTATCTTCTCCTAATTGTTTCTTTCCTTCCTAAACATAGCAAACGTATCAAATGGCAAACAAGTCCCTGCTGCAATGTGTTTCATTAAGTAGAAAACATTTTCCTTCTTTTCATGTACTCTTAAGCAGCATTAAGCGCGGGGATGCAGCTCCCTTTTTTAAGACAAAAAATGATGCTTCCTATACAGCCAAGCTGTGGGCATGCTCCTCCTTGATTGCAGCCAATAACTGGATGCAGAACCATAACCCTAACTCCGAGAAGCAATAGGTGTGGATGTGACTCAGTGCTCCTTCTTAATAAGGGAAGAGAGGTATACTGTGCATAGCCTGTAAAAACCAGCAGTCGTGCCCTTAAGTGCAGCAAGTTACCTAAGCCCACTCAAACACAGCATTAGGCTGTGTAGACAGCTGCAGGACTACTACTTGTACACTATTTTAAAGCTAAATGGAGTCACTACCAAATGGTATGCACCACCACTATCCTCATTCCCCCTTTAAGTTGGGGTGATTTGATATTTCAAACCCTAAAGGATCATTCATAGAGCTAAAGGGAACGACACAAAATGCATCAAGATCCCAGTAAACCATATGGTTGACATGTCCATATTCACCAGGGCAGAAGGGGACACTGATCTACAGAAACAGCCCCAAAAATAATAAGAAAGCACATCAGGGCAGATTGCAGATACTGTCACAAAGCGAAAAACCCACTCAATTCACCCAAATGGAGCTGCACAAAGTCTCTGCAAGCAAACTTGTGCGGACCTCACACTTGGGTAGAAGAAGTCGCAGAGCTTTCGAATATTAAAAGCACACCAGCAGATTGCAGACTAAAGCAAGTGTGAAACAGATTGCTGGGTTGTTGTTCCTGCAATTGTCCCCTTCAGCTATCATAAAGTGCTTTGTTTAATGGCTATAAAATCAAAGAACAAGCTGTCCTGATGAAGATGTCCAGGAGACTCATGAACTGTGAGCTGTTAGCTCTTTCAAAGGAAGTTTAGCTTAGGAAAACGTGCCATTTGGCAACACGGCTCCTATTGAAGTCATCAGTAGCTTCAAGAAACCAAACCCTGAGCTGAGCGGCTTCCGTGTGAGCGATGGGAAAAGCAGTGCTGACAGCAATGTTACTGCTCTCATCCTTAAGACTGAGCAGGGAATGGCATCCATGTGGCCGTCTCAAAGCCAAGAGCCCAAACCAGGCAAAACCAAAGATCCACACTGTCACCAAAACAGCAAAGGATGAAGGAAGAACATCCTTTCTCTGCTAATTTCTTGTTACAAAACCAATTCCCTGAAAATTAAGAATAAATGTGAGAAATAATAGCTCTCAAGCCAGAATGTCACTCTTTCCCCCAAGGCACACACCGTACCCGTTTAACCTATGCACGCGCATATCCTTCCATGTTTGTTTGGTGTAACAAAATGTCAATTAAAAAGTTTTATAATGTTGTAAAGAAGAAATTGTGGCATTTCCCTAGCCAAGATGTGGAGCGTGTCATTAGAAATCAGCAACAGCTAACGTCAAGATACCCTGAACCTTGCTAAACCTTGTTCCTAATGATTCACTTTCTGAGGTTTAAAATAATTAACCTGAACACTCTTCCTTCAAAGATTTGGTTTCTTGATCACACAATTAACAGAACAACCTGGGAATGTTTGAAACTGCTTTGATCTGAAGAGGATCTTAAAGGCAAAAAGTCTGACAAGCTTGCAATAAAAACACATCCAAAAGAGTGTAATGCAACACACCATGGACCTCTAATACCGAAGGAACTGCAAACTTAAAGGGAGAACCTGCACAACTTTTATTTGCACTGATTACTCTTTTTCTTAGTAGAAAAACTATTGCCAAGAACCACAAGAGAAAGCTGTGGCAGAATGAGGAGGGCTGAAACGACTCTTGAAAGCTTTAGTGCAGCCAAAGAAGCTGTGGGTGTCCCATCCCTGGAGATGCTCCAGGCCAGGTTGGATGGGGCCCTGTGGAGCCTGGTGTCTGATCAGGAGGGTGGGAATCCTGCCCACAGCATGGGGGGGGTTGGACTGGATGACCTTTAGGTTCCTTCCAACCCAACCCATTCTATAATTCTACAACCAAAGGCTTGGACTACCTAATAACTGCTTACAGCGGAGGAGAACATCAGGGAAGAAGAGAGATCAGGGCTGCTCATCTCATACTGCATAGGACTAAACGTGGTGCAGAAACGCAGTGTTTCATCCCAACAGTTCTTTGTATGAATAACCATGGAGTGATGGGAAATCCACAATGAACAGCGTGTGACTGATGGGAGAAAAACCACCCGAGGAAAACCATTCCCTTTGTGCAACAGCACAGACTCTCATGCAAAAGAAAAACAGCTATTCAGGTTACCAGGTTAATTGACTAATATAAACTGTGCTGTGTTTTCTGACAAGAAGAGCCTGAACATTTTATTTACGGTAATAAACCAGTCATTGGTTTCTGTATAAGTGTCCTGCTACCATCAATCTCAGCAATTGCCCCCTGCGGAGCCCCTTTTATGAGCGTGGGGCTCTGGTGCCTCTCAGGATCAGGCTCTGATATTTTCAGGCATGAAAGGATGCCATTTTTTTCCAGAAGAAAACCACACAGTTTGTATTTGATTTGCTCCCTATAAATAACAGCATTAAAAAGCTAACCAAAACAGCTGTCTGTAACACAGGCTGCCCTGGAAGGCGGTGGAGTCAGCCTGACGTGGTCAAGAACCATGGAGATCTGGCACTGAGGGACATGGTCAGTGGGCATGGTGGGGATGGGTTGGAGTTGGGCTTGGTGATCGCAGAGGTCTTTTCCAACCTCAATGATCCTGTGATTCAAAAGCCAGGATTGCCTGAAATATGTCATGTGTTTTGAACCACTACCCTATGCACACGGCAAAGATAAACTGGTTTGAAGAGCTGAAACTCAGAGATCTCACAAGCAACAGCGAGTCTTAAGAACTGCCTATTTCCAAGCACTTCTGCTTGGCTTACTTACAAAAGCTTGTCTTGAGAACCGGTCCCAGAGCTCTCCTGTAATGACATCTGCTGAAATGACAGCCTGTGGCCTCCCAACAGCCAGTGTTGGAAGGGGATACCTCGCAAGTCTCATCTTGAATTTCTAAGCAGTCAACACTGACAGGTGCTTAGGCTTATCTTGAAGAAACACTTACTTTCAATATATCACAGAACTGTAGGTGTTGGAAGGGACCTCTGGATCCCAACCCTGCTATAGCAGGGGCACTACTGCAAGTTGCATGGGAAAACATCCAGGTGGGTTCTCATTATCTCCAGGGGAGGAGACTCCACCATCTGTCAGGGCAGCTTGTTCCAGGGCTCTGAGACCCTTAAAAGTCAAGAAGTTCTTCTTCCTCATGTTCATATGTTCTGTGTTTCAATTTGTGCCCACTGCCCTTTGTCCTGTTGTTGTGTGCCACCAGAAAGAGCCTGGCCGTATCCAACTTGACCCCTGCCCTGTAGATACTGATAAGAACCAATCAGATCTCTTTGTAATGCACTCCAGGGTCCCATTAGCCTTCTTGGATTGACTCATGGTCACCCTGTGGTCAAGCTTTGGTCAACTGTTGGCCAACCATTGGGTCAACCAGCTCTATCTCCACACAGCTCCTTTCCAGTAGCTCAGCCCTCAGCCTGTACTGACGCATTCAGCCATTCCTTCCCAGGTTTAGAACATCTGCCCTTGCAAAACCTCATAAGGTTCTTCTCCACATAACTCTCAGCCTTCCCAGCTCTTGCTGAATGGCAGCATGGCCTTCTGAGGTGTCAGCCACTATTCCCAGCCTTGAATCATCAGCAAACTTGCTGAGGGTGCACTCAGTTCTTTCACTCACGTCACTGATGAAGAAGTTGAACAAGATTGAATCCAGCACCAACTGGGGAACACTGCTATCTATAGGCCTTACTCTGAGTCTCTGATCACAACTCTGAGTTCTGCCCATCAGCAAGTTCTCAACCCACCTCACTGCCCACTCATCTACACCGGTACAGGAACCTTTGCTTTTTGTTACAGTCACTTGGTAACTTTGGGAGAAATGGGGGAAAATCAATCAATATGGTGCTACCCATAAAATAAGAAGGGGCACCAGCAAAGACACAAAGACATAAGAAACAAATATTCCATGAAGATGAACAAAATTGTTTCAGAAATAAGTGATTTAAAGCATTTAGCTACAATT